TCATAACCCTGAGATTGCTTAGTGAAACAAGGTCCAGCTACAAAGTACTCTGCTCGTTAATCAGTTCACCGCATGTTAATCAGTCATCCTAATCGGGAACTCGCCGACGCAAAGCAGAGAAGAGTAATTTGACCTTTGTAAATTAACTTCGCGCAGTGCAGTAGATATCGCATTACCTGCTGTTGATATTATTATTGCACTGCCATAGAGCATAAATATTATTTCCGGTAACCTACACGCCTTATCAGTTCGTCACCGGATTTCGTGAGTCTATTTCGTGATGTAAAAGGTGTATACTTTTTTAAATGCGCTAGGTCCCAATCCACGAAGCGTTCGTAAAGTTACGACCTGTCGTAACCCTATGATTTATCATAGCTTAGTACGATTATAATAGCGCTAAGGCTCTCAGTTTACTCTGCTGAGTTTTAGACACTTTAGGCAATGTATACTTTATTGCCCATGTCGTTGGTACGAGTATTTTACCGCATCGTGGTTTTGCAATGAGGTCTTGGCTTCCTTGACACAGCTCATAGATATTCATTTAGATATATTAACCGTAACTTTAGATGGATAGCTCCAAAACTGTTGTGTTGATTTTATGATGTAACATTCCTTGCTTTTGTTAACTTATACCCATTCGATAAATCGCCGAGCTGATGCTGTCATAATATCGCAAGGAAGTCGTGCAAACGACAACCCGTGAAGATCCGGGTTAGAACTGATCTTCAGTAACCCATGCTTGTCGTAAGAGGCGACTAACCGGATCGGGTGGTCAGACTCGCTGACCTGGTTGACACGTGTCATCGCATCTCAATTGCTTAGATCGATGCTCATGCTGTTGATCACTGGATTGTCTGGTCCAGACTCCATTATTTACAAACCTCCGCCATATAGCTGGAATATTGCTGAGTGCGGCTTAAAACTAAAATCACTCACTCATGCAATAGACAATAAACATGGGCCTACACGGTAATGTCTCAAAGTGCATTCACCTTTGCCGTTAGCGTTAGCGAGTTCGGAAAATGTAATTTGGAATCATATCTATTTTGGTTAATTGAATAATATAAAATGAGTAACATTATCAAGGTCGTTTTGTCTGTCGTGCGCTTAAAGAACCCAAAATCACTCTCGCAGAAACATCCGCTACATTCATTGGAACTGTTCTAGCCCGACACTGGTTGTAATGGCAAGATTAAGTCTGAGGGTAGTGGATAGTCCAAGATTGACGGTAACGGCTTACTGGAAACTGACGGCTTGTCCGGAACTCACGAGGAAGACTAACCCGGAGCTGATGGTTATGGTTAATCCGAGAGTTGAGTGAGGCAGGATGTCCTTGATTCACAGTGATGAGTATAGCTAGTGAGTCATGTTCATGGCTAAAGTTGATGTGAGTTCTAATCCGTGAAATATACAAGAGTTTGGGGTTGGAGGGATGGCGTCATGCCGGCCTCACAAACCATTGTTCAAATTACAACAATGGCGCTTTAATTCGCAATAAATTTCTTTCAATAAGTGCGAAATTATTTTGTTTATTTACATATCCCACCCATGCTGTTTAAACCACACATACAATGTTGCTCACAATAAAGTATACAGTCATGTTTGAAGATGGCTAAAACTGATACAAACCGAAAATGGTTATTCGATGGCGATTTATATCATATGTTTTGAAAATTCAGTTTGAAATGTTTCACCGGGTCTTTTCAGGCCTGTAACATTTGTAACAGTTTGGTCAAATCCACATTACAAATTTAAAATTTGTGCTTTCTTTTATCCGTCATTCTATGAAATGTTAACTGAACATGGACACCGTGACCTGTTCAGCCCAGAACAACAAATTATACTTCTCAAGATTTTTACCAAGGGCACTTTAAAGTTTACTAAAATGTTATAACCCTTTTATGGATAGATGCTTAATAGACAGATGGGTGTTCCTTAATGTAGCCCTATATCAGGTCGATCACAGAACCTCTGGAGAGTCTTCTGAGATAGGAAGGAATGGACAATCTCGTGATATATTCCTTTGTCGGAGATACGTGGCGGAAATCAGAAAAAACTTCGTCACAAAGCGTGTTACATTAAGCTTAATTAGAGAATCGGAGTGTTCTTCAACATGTGTGGGTGTGCATCGTGTTGGATCGAGTGCTACCACCGGTGAACCTGACTTCATCGTCATCCCTAAATCAATACTCAACGCCTGCTTGAGTAGTCGCAAGCCCTTTAAGTCTTACCACCTGCTGCCTGAAAACAGCGTTAGTTTTAACGTGGGATGAACTGCTTGGTTCGAGTAGTGGGGATAAGGACAGAGGCCTCTGAAACATCGCAAAAAGAAAATTATAGTAATTTTATACATTTTAAAAATAAAAACAGCCAACGAATAAGAAATCACGGGTACTGCATATATGTGTGTGGCTTTAACATGATTATTATGCAGTTAAAACAAAAGAAGTACAACTAACAGCGTTTGGGGGATCCTGGCATAGTCAAGCTTGTTACCTGTGGGCAAATCATCACATCAGGGCCCTTTCCAATTGAAAACAGAGCAGAAAGTGAACGGGACTTCTCCCAGGAAGCACTGCCTAGTCGAACCCACCAAGTATTTTGCGGAGATTGTGAAAACGCGCCAACACTGCAGCTTTCTGCTTGGTAATCTCCCAATTTCAGTCAAGGGATTGGGAGGTACCAAACCTTAGGCACCAAGAATAATGGACAGTCGGTGCAACTTGGTACTTGGGATGCAAGCGTGACATTTGCCATGTTTATCCTGAATCTTGTAATCACATTAATGTCAAAAGGGTCAGAGAATTCAATAATAATTCTGATTTTATTGATTTTATTAAGAAGGACAAAGTCAGGTGTGTTAACTTGGATACACATGAGGCTGTAGAGGGACCTGTTCCAAAGAATTATTACTATCATATCAACATAAACAGGATCGTATCATGGATGGAAATCTGAGTCAAAACCACAAGCATGGCGAAGACTAATAGATGAGATGGGATAAGAAACAGGTCGAGCCACACCATCATGTCTCTTAACACACCGTGTTTGTGCATACGCTGGGCATCCACTGACAAGGTTTTGGACAACGTTATTAAATTCATTGCATTATCTCATAAACAGATATTTTGATGCAACGTCACAGGTTAACGGTTTCGAGTGGGAAATGACTGGTCTTACGCCAGAAACAAAAAATCTTTCGGTTTCACTTTTCAGACCAGCCAACTTCATCCAAGCGAAATACTCGGCAGGGTTGTTACTTAAAATATACTAATGCTCAGGCCGTCCAAAGAGCTTCCCTGGGTGCCGTTGTACAAAACAACCTTTACTAAGGTCAAACTTAGTGACTAAGTTTAGCCTTCAGGTAATCTTAACAACACCCGTTGCACAAAGCTACCTTTACTCAACCTTAACACCGGAAGGATACTTAGCGGCAACCTTAACTAAGGTTGAAATCTTTAGTGCCGGAGGCTCAAATTTGTTGGTAGTTACGGTTGTAAGTTATCTCCCCTACTGTTCCAAGTCTGTCCGAGCTACGTGGTTCTATCTCTAAAAAACACGCTGTTTTCTCAAACTGCTACCAGTTTCCTCACACATCAACAAGAATGTAACCATGTTGAAATTACTTGAAATGTCAACCTTAGCCACACTAAGGTCGGGTCGGACCAACCTTAAATTTTCACCCTAAGGCTACCTTAGGGTAAGGTAGAATCGTGCAGCGGGACGTCAGCCTTAGCAAAGCCCAAGGTTAAAACGTAAGGAGATGGGTAATCTCACACATCAACAAGAACGTAGCTATGTTGAAATTACTTGAAATGTCAACCTTAGTCATACTAAGGTCGGGTCAGACCAACCTTAAATTTTCACCCAAGCTAAGGCTACCTTTTAGCTTAAGGTAGAATCGTGCAACGGGACGTCAACCTTAGCAAAAGCCTGAGGTAAAAACTTAAGAAGATAAGCGCTAAGGTTACTTTTGTACAACGGCCCCTTGGTCTTTGCCGATTTTTTATAACACTTCATCGGGCTGACATTTATTTATACCGAACCATCAGCAAAATCAACACCTATATTAGATTATACCCAACATCCTTGGGTTGTCTAGGAAAACTGTGGAATGTCTTATTTTCGTCAGGAGCCTTGACATGCTTTACAAGAGATCAGATAAATACATGCATGCAAAGTGCCCGGCGAAGAGCCTCCCCATTATTTCTCAACACTGAGTGAGGGGAACAATACGGGTAAATCATGGTAATGATGTCAAATCAGTTACCCAAGGGTAATTGGGGTAATACAGGGTTTAATTAGTAGCTTCATTACGATGTGGCAGATGTTTTATATTGAAACAATCGAACTCATAAAAAAGTAAAGACCAAATTTGAAAACATGACTCATGGTAAATGAAAAACTGAAGCTTTTATCACATTTGACGAGAAATGAAAACATCATTACTTGCAACTTACTCGAACGAGCGCGATAACCACTAAACTTCAAATATATCATTGCTTCTTATCCAAAAGGGTGGTGGTATACACCAGCTGTGATAAAGGTTTGCTCGTCACGCTGAGACCCAGATTCGATTCCCACGCTGGCAAACAGATATGAACACATTTTAGCTATTCTCTCCTGCGATATGGCGCTAATACTACAAAAAGCGACCTAAATCAAATCAAATTCGTCCATTCACCCATTACACAGATTATACGACTGCAGAAATGTAAACCTTGGTTTGGTAATTTCCATCTCACCGTTGTATGGATCACTGCTATTTCCACAATCCATCATCACTGCACTGTAAAATAATAATCTTATTTGTTTCCCAAAGACCTGCTGTGACGAGGCGCTTTTATTTGTTTCTACAATAATGCAGATTTCCCAGTAGACTTTCTCAATGAAATACTCAAAGGCAATATGTGATAAAAGGCATCAAGCCAATTGCCCCGTGCAAACGTAGGAACATTTTAGACGTCTTTCCCCCCAAAAATACAACGCGAACAGTCACAAACACTGCTATCCACAAGCGTATTTAATCATATGAACTTAAAACAAGCACAAAAAGGCATGGCAAACATATTAATCAATATATACATCAATGTGCATCATAATAAAACCATTTACAAATTCGTTTTGAAGATACCAACTTCAAAGGTCAATCACATAACATGGACAATGGTTTCTTGTACTTCTTTACATTAAAGGCAACAAAAGAACTCTTAAACAGATAACTTGCTTCCCAAGAGAAGGCAATAAATGTATGTAACATAAGCATTTAATGAAATGTTAGTCAACTAATTCATATATAATCAAAGAGTTGAACAAGCTCCTTTGTGTACTGAAATAACTTCTTGAAGCATTCAAAGAAACTGTACGCTATGGTATACACCAAACCTGTTAGTTCCATCTCGACAGCATGGATCAAACAATGCACACATTATGTGCCATTCAATTCAAATACCATTATTTCCAAAATGCTCACAACGTAAAAAAAACAAACGCATGTCTGCATGTCTAATTAATCTATTTCGTTTGTGCTTAAGAAAGGCATGACGGAAATTGCTGCAAAATGTTCAAACATTACCAGACAAATATTTCCAATACAACATTAGTAAACCTGAGAAAGTTAAAAGTGAATGAAAAATGCTTCCATAATTACACGACTTCTGTGCTGATTCCGAGTAAAAAAATCCCTGTTTCTTATGCTTGCAAGATCAGACCAAATTCGGACCCAGCAGTCAAGCATTGGTGGTCAATGCAATGTCACAGATGGAGTAGAACACTGAACAACGGGGAGAGTTCTATGGATATACGACTTCTTTATTATTATGGTTGTACTAAACTGAAGGGTAAAAGAAAATTATACACCGACGTGTGATGATAAAAAATGAAACGAAAAGTAAAAAAATATATGGTTGTTTAATGGTGTTGCATTCTCACACTGGACACTGATTACAGCCTAGAAACGTTTAGAAAATGTTTGAAATTCTTAATAATATTCAACTTTCAAGAGTATACCTTCTTTTTTTAACCGTTTTTAAAGACTTGTTTGCTTGGTTCAGATTAACAAACATGTTGTCAAACAGATTTGAGAACGCCAGATGCAATAAAAAAATATTGCATTTAAAGAAAACCAACGGCAACGTTGTGAAACCGTCAGAAAATCTGTGCTTCATAAGTGTCAGTATTATATGAAGACTGTTTCAATATGCTGACACATGATTTATCATTTCTCAGAGTTAATTATTTGTGTCTTAAAGTTGGAGCCATGCTGCTACATAAAATACAACATAAATAAACATAATCCGAAATTGATCCTTCTATAGGCATGCGTAAACCGTTATTGTAATATATTTTGAAAATCGATATATAGATCTACGTTGTACTATGATGACACATGTCTATGAACAGCGGAAGTCCGTTAATCCCAACTGAACCGGTGAAATATGGATTGAGAACAAATGAATATATCTTGACAAAAAAAATTGATATGGACTTAGAGCTGTTATGTATATTGACATTATGCAAAAGCACCGTCGGGAATTTCGCAGATGCCCAGACCAATAATCTACATTGTCTAAATGTAAAGCTAGTGGATCGGTTGCGGATATTATCCTTCAACAGTTTGTTTTTGTTTTTGTGAAGGATAAAAAGAGTCTTCCATTATCTTTCTTTGTTTTTGTGAGATTATACTTTATGAATGTTGTTCTTCTGTGGTGTTTACACGAAAAACAAAGGCACGCACTGTTTGTAAAACCGGTGAAACGATGAACGTTACCTTTGAATCACATGACATGGCATGGCATTTACAAATTATAATAATCAGACGGTGGAACACTTTGTGATTATGTGTTTATTCATAAACGTAGGGGTGATCAGGCGAGACGTCAATTGAAAACATTTAAACTTGAATTAAGATTGCTTTCCACGTTCGTGATTATTAGCGTCTGCGGATGCTCAAACCAAGTGAGTGAATATTGCCAAACGCCGCTTTGAACAGCAATTCTGTTGTATCACGGCTTGTCAGCTTACTGTGAGAAGAAAGGTCTAAATTTTGCAGATCTGACACTTTACAACTTTGGTGATGGCCATGATCACGGGTATGGCGGAGGCAAACCAAGAATCATAATTACTCAGAACCGTGTTTTGAATCCGCGGTGGTATTTATTTTTCGAGACCACCGAAAACCAAGTGATACCCCCATGCAAATTCATAACAGCATGTGTCATCACCGTACAGTGTACAAACGCATGTACTGCAGGTCTGAGGTCAACGCCGTTACAAACACTGCAATGAAAAAACAATATCAATCGTACAAAAAGGATTATTTTCTAAATGAGAAGTAAAACCGGGTTTAAAACCGCTTTGAACATAATTTCTTTTATCAGCTTAATTGTGGTGGAGACAGTCCCGAAGTGATGTAGGTATAACAAATGAGAAGGGGCTTAGTAATGTCCTCATCGTGTTGTTAGAAACACAGTCAGGATGAACCGGGATTCGAACCCAGGATCATAGGATTCTGGTATGCCTAAGGGACGCAACTCTGGACAGCGAGGCCATGCCTCAGATTCATAGTACTTAAACACAAATAAGAACTTATAATTAGGGAACACTTCATGCCAGACTGACTTGTATAAGTAGGCTTAGTGACAACCCAGTATGTGTTAGTATTTAAAACATATCAAAATGTTAATATAGTTCAATACGCAACCATCTCTTCCAGACCACCATGTAATAAGTATTCTCTGTTGAAAACACAAACAACAACATACATTGACATCGATAGTCATTCTTTTTGTTTCATTATGGAGAAGATGAAATAATTACTTTAACAAACACACGAATCGACTGTTATCAACAGAAGAATTATTTCCGTGCTCGTATGTATAAGGTGTCAGGTGTCAAAACATTAATATTTCCGCATTTTTAAATACATGAACGACAAAATCTGATAAAAATAATAAGTTTTTAAAATATATATAGTTCCACATCAAGTATTCGAGGAGTTAACTAATTCCCCATACTTCAGAACTGTTAGGTTGTTCCATTTCATTTCCACATCCATCATGTTTAAAACATTGGTATTTCCAATTACTATCTTTTCAAAATGTTTTTATAGTTGCTGTCAGGGATGTCAGAAATCTCTGTGCACATGTTTCTCACCATAACGATCGTATGCAACTACCAGTGATGGCCTAGAAAATGTAGTAATCTTATTACATGATACCTGACAGTAATGAATTGTAAGCTGTCATAAAAATGTACTCTATAAATAACATTACATCAATCTAAATTATGACTGTTCGAAATTGTGAAGCAAAATGCCGCGCTTTGAGAAGAAAACGTCTCATGGGAGACACCATACCAACATATGTCGTTAATCTTCATATTTTAAAATAAAATTTACAAAACATATGGCACTTCAGTTAAACACATGTCATTTCAACACATGGAGAAATTAATTTAATGTCTTTAAGTTGACCACACTTCTCAAATCATTCAAATATGAAAATGACGGGCGAGAAACCGACAAGAACATTGAATGGAACACAAGGATACATTCGCAGTATCCAACTATGAAGAACAAATATAAGTGCATTAAAATACATAGCCTTCATACTACAAATTGGAAGGAACATTTACCAATATTTGATTTTCAACCATGTGGGACATACATGCTCTGCATTGTCAGAGAGCACGTTTGAACGTCGTTCATTGTCCACCACAATATTCCATAATGTATATACACAATGATTAATGTGATCTATGGTGGTGCATTTTAATGTACAATCACAAAGGTGTGTTACTGATTTGCAGTGTTCTGTGTACACGAAAAGAATGTGTGTGTATGTTGTGCTTCTACAGCGCAGAGTGAACAATTTCAGAATCTGAATTTAATATCCGTGACTTTTCTTTAGGTAACAGTTTATGGTTGGTGTAGATCGTAACAGACGTTCCACACGATCGAGATGACTTGTACACACTCATGTCGTTGGTGTACCCGGTTTTGGGCCAGCACTGACAGAGCGTCCTCTTGAATGCTGTTCTGTACTTCTTAGACAAGACATTGTACAGGATTGGATTCACCACGGAGCTGACGAAGTACAACAGCCCTGTCTGGAACAAGAAGCACAACAAACAGGCGTAACAATGTTGTTTCTATCTTTGTATAAAATTACATGTTGATGATTGAATACCTGTAAATGTACGCTCAGGAGCCTTGAAGGCATGAATCAAAAGTGTGGATTTGGATTTGACATCTTTGAAAATTTGATATATATATGGATGTGTGTTTCTATCTTTAAAAGATACACTTGGGGCGTTTGATGACTTGAATACCTGTAAATGTACTACAGTATGAATGAATCAAAAGTGTGTTACATCTTTTGAAAATTTGATATATATATTGGCTGTGAGTGTATGTATGTCAGCGAGATGCAATTGGATGTGGTCGTCTTTACATCGGCACGTTTGACCGTTTCTCCCAAAATGAACATATCATCTTGAACGTGTGCGTGTGCGTGTGTCCGTGCGTGCGTGCGCGCGCGCAAGATATGCTCCTCGGGACTTAATAATACGAATTTTGCCAAATTGAATGGCATTGATAATTCATGAACAGTTTATGTTCATGTTAAATTAGCCCTGTTTTTAACACATTCATTGACATTAAAGCATAGTCTGATTTCTTCACGCAGCGAGTTTTCACATTGTTATGATGCTTTCCACGATTTGCACTTTCCATACATTTCCTGCCATTATAATGCTGTGTATACAGGTCGGAGGGTTATGTCCATTAAACTATCTTGATCTTGAATAATATTTCATCGGAAATAACTTATTGTTGTCAAAAGAAGGGATAATGTAAGGACACATCTGTGTTACAGACGTGCTGCAAGACGTTTAGGCACATGGCATTGACTCTTACATTAGTATCAGCTGAGTAACAATGTCCTCGTGATAACAGTATTCTAAGTTATGAAACGGAAACTCACCTGAACTTTCAAAAATGCTTTGATTTATTTTTAAGTGCAACAGGTTTCTTATTAACACGGAACTTTCCAACCACGAACAGCCATATAACTTTTTATCATACTGGGACTTGGTTGCAGTTATAACAACCCGAAACCTATTTCACTCCTACATTCTACTCCTTGATTCGTCGTATTCATGGCTTTAAATGAGGTGATCCGCGTCTACGAACATGCATGGCTTCACTCTTACCTCCCACATTAACCTGGCACGTCCTGACAAACCTGAAATACTGTTCAAAGTTGCTTTAAATAAACTGCACTGAAATAAATTCAAAATGAAAAGAAAACCTACATTGAGATGTACGCTCCATGTGGTTATGTAACGCTTGTTAGTGAAATGTGATTAAACCATTGAACTCGCTTGGGCATTATGTCTTGTATTTTTCCGATTTCACAGATATTATCAAGAATTACTGAACCAACCTGACCTTTACACCGCGTTAGTTTTCTCTTGGACTAATTGAGGGCAAAATGCAACTCGTCTGAATTAGATTCACATTAGGGAAATTACATGTTGAAAAGAACCAGATTTTGATCAATGCTATTTCTTCTGAAGCATTGCATGATTCAATTAATTAAGATATAATCACTTGATGTCTCCGGTTGTTCTGTCCACGAAATGACGCGATGTGTCATTACGTGAGTGCCAAGTTTAATCGTTAAAAACGGTAGAAACAGCGTCGGGATACTGTAGCTAACCTGGATCAACAGTTTAATATGTCAACAAAGGGAGTCAATTTTACAAACGTTGTCGCCAGCATTGATATTGAGATATTTTCAGCGTAAATACACGTGGTGACTTAACAACAACACATGTATATGCTTGTGGGTTTTATATGGTATGATGTCATCAAAAGAGGCAAATTCATGTTTTAAAGTTTCTAGAGCAAAGTCCGGTACCAAATGAGCAATAGAACAAAAAGTAAAAACATAAAACTGTGAAACAACAACATGTGAAACAACAACTTATAGACATACCAAATATCTTTCCCATTACAGATAAATAGATTTTATAATGTGGCTGCTTCTAGATTGAGTGAGTGAGTGTGGTTGTTTTTACGCCGCTTTTAGCAATATTCCCGCAATATCACGACACCAGAAATGGGCTTCACACATTGTAACGATGTGGGGAATAGAATCCTGGCCTTCGGCGTGACGGGCGAACGCTTTAACCACTAGGCTACCCCACCGCCACGGCTGCTTCTAGAAGTGGATTGTCATCATAGATGGAAGACGCAGGACACGTGTCACCTTCATGTCGTGTCTAGGGCCCTCTTAGAAGACGTTTACGATTCACGATGGACGATGCAACTCGTCTATATCTGAATGTAAATGCTCTACAACCATGGGTAGTGCAATAATGTAATGATAATGTGGAATATTTATAACGCGCCTTTCCAGGCTTCATATCCTACTCAAAGCGCACAAATATAATCTGATTATTATTACCCCGGATAACCCAAGCTGCCTGTGAGGTTAACAGCAACTTATTCCACGGGGTACCCATTGCTGCTGGGTGAACATGGTCAAATTTGAACAAACTCACTTGCCTAAGGTGAGAACACATGTATCACATGTGTTTCGTTGTGGGGCAGGACTGAAGTCCTAGAAAACTCTCAGGAGTCAAGCTACCAAACACGGTCACCAATCCAAGAACTCTCCGCGACCATAGTTGTTTAAAATCGAACGATTTGTGACCTGAGCTGTATACAAAATATGATTTTGTCCTGAAGCATTGTAGTTGAAGCTCGTGGACGTCTTGCTCAGCTAAATCAGTCAAACCATATCGGACAAGAAGTCCAAATTTAAGAAAGGATAACAATTATGGATAACAACTTCTTTATTACAGTGAGACTTGCGTGATAACAGTGTTAGACCCTACACCGAAACGTCGCTCTCGCTGTAAGTAACGAATTGTTTATTCACGCATTGTTATCCTTCCTTACTGCTCCAACTTCTAAATGCCACTCCAAGAAGTCCAAAATGTAAACAGTTTCTGCACGACGCCAAGTAGGCTCACTACTTACGACAACGTCCACGTGGCTTTTCAAGTCAGGTGAGCTAAACAGATCTAAAATATATTTTGATAGAGCCCGCTAATCCCCAACATTACAGTGATAATCGTTCATTCTTACGGGGCAAAATTCAATATTGCGTTTCAATAAGTGGCTTTAACCGGGGAATATGGAATATTCATGCTGTTATGACGGTACTTGGGCACCATGTTAGAAATGGTCTCCAGCAACTCCTAGAAGATCTGGGCGCTGCTGATAACATCAACCCGGTTTCGTCTAGCCCAGACTAGGTTATCTATAGGTCGCTGTGACATAGAAGGAATAATATCCACAACAACGACATGTTGCTCCATGACGACCCTCCCTAGGTCCGTTAGAACGACGGGGTAGGGAACTTTTGGCTGACATCGATACATATACAGATTAAAATCACTTTAACATTATATGCATATGTTTAATAAATATAATTTAATAGTTATTGATATTTAGTTAGATACTTAACGTACACATTTTAGTTTTGTCTTTGACTTGAATCAGTGCTACTGATGACATGAGACAATGAGACATCCCTTCCTCCACCTGATACTGAGCAATGAAAATGTATGTCTATCATAACACATTTCCATCCGTCTTCACATAGCTGAATATTGTGAAAAGATACGATATGAATGATACAACTGGACATTGTTCCCCGAGGCAAATGAGAGAGGATTTGCATGATCCTATCTGGCTTAAATTATTTAAAACAAAACGTGAATTTAAACAAAGAGAAAGGGGCAGAGTAATTGAAACTATGGAAGTATCAGTATAGATCTAAATGATACTACCGGGCGATGACGATACAAATGGTTGTCAGTTGTTTTACGCCGCTTATAGCAATATTCCTGCGATTTCACGATGGGGAACACCAGAAATGGGCTTCACACATTGTACCCATGTGGGCAATCGAACCCGGGCCTTCGGCGTGGCGAGCGAACGCTGTAACCACTAGACCCACCCACCGCAAGTGCGTTGTAAGGAAAGGTCAATGGAAATTTGCCGTTAGCTCAAGGAACAACCAATGACCGTTTAAGTCGCAGTTTTTGTCTCAAGAAGATGAAGACAAGTTTAGCAAGTCTGCAGGTTTAATTCCCAGCTGAACCGTTAGAAGTGCTTCCGAGGGTCGCAAAGTGTCTGATATGACAAGAAAGCACAGTAGGTGCTCATGAAGGTAACAGAACCGACCAGAAGGGTTGAAATCACTATACAGTCTCAAGGAAGTGTCATTTGTTTATAAAAGAACTCTAAGAACTCCCTGGATAATGCAGTGTCTGAAATGTTCAGGCACTGCTCGACACAAGAACATTCATGCCAGACTCTTGACATCAAACGCCATGTTTGCATTCAGATGAACAGAGGGAAACCCTGGTTCTACTGACCAAATATTTGTTAACCACTTTTGAGACAGATAATGTTACAACTGTTTTGATCAGATGTATTTTTACACCAGGCCGACGTAACGTCTGAAGTCAGTCCAACGAAAATGAATGGTATCAAGTACTTAAATATATACTTTTGGAGTTAAAGCTAAATGCTGGTGATGGAGTATATTTATGTTAATATTCATGATGGTCGAATTGATGATAGGAAAACTGAAATGTCTTTAGAATGACTTAGAATTAAAATGAGTACGTTTATTTTCATTCTCAAATCTGATTGATAAAAAACAATTCGAATCTCTCGAGCATACAAACTGGCTCCATCCTCAGATAATGCACGATAATGGTTCCTCTGAACTCGCGACACAAGATCGTACAAAGGAAATTGATCTCGTTCCTTGTGGATTGGTCATAATTTCCAACTAACACATGCAGTATACCCTAATTCACACGATTTCAGTGATTGTCCACAAACATTTAACAATACAACGCTTGACCGATCTACTCAGCAAACATTGTATGAATAATTTTGTCAAATCCATTCTCAAATAGGTACAGAATATAAATATTCATCTGAATGAATTTGAACTTATAGGCCAAGTTTATTTACTCGAAGCCCTAGGGAAGCCCAGAGAAGTGCGTAGTTCTA